TTTTTTTGGACTGGGAATTGAACCAGGGGTGCTTTACTCCTGAGCTTCATCCCCAGCCCTTTTTAATTTTGAGACAGGATCTCGCTAAATTGTTTAGGGCATCTCAAATTGCTGAAGCTGCCTTTGAACCTGCACTTCTCCTGCCACAGCCTCCCGAGCCTCTGGGATTACAGGTGGGTGCCACCACGCCAGGAACATATTTATCGTTTATTAAGAGGGTTCCTGTAAAAATATGAAAAGGCTGCCAGCAGCAGGATCAGCCAGAGAGCTGCTGTTTTATGACCAAAGGGATTCTCACTCCTTGTTTTTAACAGTTACAGAGAAAAGTCACCAATCCCCTCCCGAATCCTTCATTCTCTTTCTGGAAGCTGCTGGGTTCCCAGCCACAGGACTGAGGCTCTCTGCCATTGGAGGTGAAAAGATAAGCAATGCTGCCACCTGCTGTTCTGAGAAGGAAGTGCCAGGAGTGCCCTTGGCCACAGTGTCTTAGGCATGAGGACCCCAAAAGACACTTTCCCTAGTGTGCAGCCTGCAGAAGGGTGGAAGGGCTGCTTGGAGCATCTGCCATTTCCCATCTGCCCCTTCTCTTTTCACATCTATCACTCCTGTGGCTTCTTAGAGCAGCCATGAGGGCTGCTGAGGGGATTCAGCTGCCATGTGGCAGGCGCCAGATAACAGAAGCTGTCACGTAGCTGTTCTGGTGTCTAGAAACCTCTTGCTGCTATGACCTGGAGGACCAGAAAGGATGGATCCTTGGAGCCTGGAGGGTGTTAGCCAGGAATCTGCCCTGGACTCTGTCCTCCTGGACCACCGCCCCCACCCTCCACTGCAATATGGCTGAGGTAAGGGGCGCTCTTCACAGACGGAAGCAGACAGGCCATCTGTCACCAGAAACAGTGTGGAGCCATGGTGAAAGCACAGATTCCAAAGTCAATATTGAAAGCCACTGTGGATGTTTAACCCCACTGCCTCTGTGTCCTCATCTATAAAATTACCTAAATAGACTTTTTTGGCAGTGTTTTGGGAAGGCCAGGGAGTCAGTGCATACAGAGCCCTTAGAAGAAGGGCTGGCCCAGGGAAGGCCCAGAATGGATGGAGATCAGCTGCTACTCTCAGCCCAGTTCCTCTGGACCTGCCCATCCTCTGCCTCCCTTCCCGCACTCCTTCCCTGTGGGCAAGGGCAGCCTGGAGACAGAGGTCACAGACTGCTACTCCCTGCAGCCTTCTGAGAAACAGTGCTGTCAGGCCCCGCTGTGAAGCAGTGGCCTCTGCACTCCAGCCTCGCAGGAGCCCCTTTGCCTGGAAGTGCCACCATGCACAGGAGCAAGAGCACACAGCAGAGGGGGCTCTGAGCGCTGACAGGATGGGTGCAGAGCCCCACCCACAGTGGGCCCAACCCTCCCCCGTCCTCTGCTAGGGAAAGGCTGTGGCTGCGGAATCAGAAGGCCCTGTGGACAGTGCCACCCTGGCTGGGGGAGCTTCTGGAAAGTGTGGCCAGGACTGCTGGGAGAGAAGACCCGGGGGGACACGGGAGTTGCCCTTTGGGGGTTCCGGGGACGCACCTTTGTCTTTGAGCATCTCCCTGTAGTTAGTTTTCTTCAGTTCTTCCACGATGCCCTTGTTGGCATCATCCAAGGCCTGTGGAGAGCAGAGGGGCTGGTGAACGCTCTGAACCCCTGTTTGCCATCTGCATCTTTTCCTTTCCCTTCCCAAGCCTGGGACCGGAAGGCAGGGCTCAGGCGAAACCCCGCCACCCTGGGTTTCCTTCTGCACCGGGGTTAGTGCATGAGAAACACGCGGCTGGCCAATTCATTCCTCCTGGGCTTAGGCATGTAATTGGGAGTTCGGTTGGTCTGCTAACTTCTACCCTTTTACCTAATGCCACTCTTGGCTTCACTCAATGTCCAAAGATAACCCAAGCCTCTGAGCACTCAGCAAGGTAGCCAGCCGAGCAGGGGACGAAGGGCTGAGGCTTCAAAAGGGGCTTCCAGGACATGTGCAGTTTCCTTAGCTCAAGTTCAATTCTCAGGGCTCAGCCTGTGTGCTTTCTCTCTATGTATTTGTTTTGGAAGTGCTGGAGATGTCACCCAGGAACTGAAGCATGCTAGGAAAGTGCTCTACCCCTGATCCAGACCCCCAGCCCAGTTTTTTTTTTTTTTTTTTTTTTTGTAAAATGGAGGTCTCAAGATCTCCCTATGTTTGTTGCCCAAGCTGGCCTGGAGTTCCCGGGCTCAAATGATCTTCCTGCCTCAGTTTCCTGAGTAGCTGAGACCACAAGCTCATGCCACTGTGCCCTGCCTGTGCATCTTTGGCCTGCCTCCTCTCAGGGTCCCAGTGGTCTGCCCTGTAAGTTCCTGCCCAGAGATGCCAATCCAGGTGGGTGAGGGATCAGGTTCCTGGTCCCATGAGAAGTTGCTAAGAGCCAAGTAACTCCCTTCAAATTACTGCCTAGCCTTCAAGGTGACCTCAAATCCTCTTGCTGGGAAAGCCTCCAGCCTGCCTCAGGGGACAATGGGCTCTCACTCTGAATTCCCCTGGTTCCTCATGGTGCTGGTCACAAATCAGGGTTTGTGATTTTGGGTTTCTTTGCACCCCCACCCCCACCCCAGGGTGCTGTACCACTGAGCAACATCCTCAGTCCTTTGGATTTATTTTTTAAATTAGATTTTTAACATTTTAAAAATGTTTTTTAGTTGTCAATGGATCTTTATTTATTTATCTGCAGTGCTGAGAATTGAACCAGCGCCTCACACATTGCTAGGCAAGCACTGTACCACTGAGCCACAACCCCAACCCCCTCCTTTTGATTTTTTAAATTCTGAGACAGGGTTCTCACTAAGTTGCTTAGGGCCTTGCTAAGTTGCTGAGGCTGGCCTCAAACTTGTGATCCTCCTGCTTCAGCCTCCTGAGTCACTGGGATTGCAGGTGTGCACCACTGCACCCAACTGGTGCTTTTGTTTGAATCTTCCTGCTGACACAGTTTCTTGTGAGCCCAAGAGCATAGCCAGACACCTTTGGGCTTGACAACCAATAGTGAATACTGCTCAGTAAATGTTTTCTGAGTTGAGTCGCCATGCTGTCTGCTTGCAGGCTGTTCACGCAGAAAAGAATTAAGCAGGAGGGACCCTGCCTGTGAATTGTGAGCAGAGGAGCACGTGGCAGAGCTTTAGTGACCTGGGTGCTCTTCCCCCAGACTTACAGGCAGGATGTGTACTACAGCTGTCCCCTCAACAGAAGGACAATGATGTGTTGCCCTGGGGTGTGTGGGAACAGGGGACAGCCTGGGACCCGTGGGGCCTGTTGGGAGTGATTTCTTGCCAACAGCACAACTGGCCTAACTAGCCTCTCACAAGACCCAGTGTGTCAGGTCACTTCTCTGTCATCCCTGCCTTCCAGTCCAGCTGGCAGGCTGACCCCACCCTGCTGCCTTCGTGACCCCTACAGCCCCTGAATGCAGGCCCAGCGTCTCCTCTGCGGGCCTGAGGAAACCCTCGGTTTCCTCCAGCTTCACTTCAGGCCACAGGCTGTCACATCCTCAGTGTTCTTGCCTGTTGGCCTGTGCCCTTATCTTTGCCTGGAATGTTCTAAACTCTCCTTCACTTGGCTACTTCCACTCAACCTCAGGTTTCAGCTTGGATGTCCCTTCGGGGGGCCTGACTTAACCCCTGCCATCCAGAGGCAGCCACGAGGCCCTGCTCCAAACAGAAGTGTTAGGGTCCCTGCTCCTTTCCCAAGGTCCTGCTGCTGAGGGTGGCTGAGAGCTGCTTCATGAGTAGGTCAGGACAATTCTAATAGGGTGATGTGGACTTTCACAGGGACATCGAGGGCTGGGGAAGGGAGACGTCACCTCAACCAGACCAAGGGGTCAGAGAAGGCCTCCTGGTGGGACATCTAAGCTGAAACCCGAGGTTGAGTGGAAGTAGCCAAGTGAAGGTGAGTTTAGAACATTCCAGGCAGAGATAAGGGCACAGGCCACGAGGCACAGGAGAACCTGCTCGGGAAAAGTGGGGGCTGGTTTGGGCTGAAGCTGAAATGCAAGGGGTGGGGTGGGGACTGGCCTGCTTGGGCAGCACAAGAGCCACAGGGTGGGGAGAGGCCACCAGAGGCTCTTCCACCTCCCAGAGAAAAGCCAGGAACCTTCTCCCAGACACTGAGAACCAACAAAGGGTTGAAACAGGAAAAAGAGGAATTCACACTGTACTTCCTGTTGTCTCTTGGATGAGGTGGCAATTTTCAAACTGCAAGTCCTAAAATCAGTTTAGTAGGTCTCAGGCGGCATTAGATGAAATAAAATGGAAAGCCAGATATGATGGCATGTGCCTACAGTTTGGGCTACTCAGGAGGCTGAGGCAGAGGCTTGCTTGAGTGTAGGAAGTCAATGCAAGGTTGGAACACAGAGTGTGCATCCCCCTATCTCTCTCTCTCTCTCTCTCTCTCTCTCTCTCTCAGTACTAGGGATTAAATCCAGAGCCTCACACTTGCTACATGGTAGACAAGTGCTCTCCCACTGAGCTGCATCCCCAGCCTTTTTTACACTTGATTTTGAGACAGGGTCTTGCTAAGTTGCTGAGGATGGCCTTGAACTTGGATCCTCCTGCCTCAGCCTTTTGAGTAGCTGGGATCTAGGCAGGCATCAATGTACTCAGATTGCCCCTGTCACTTTAAAAATAAAAGACAATATGAAATATAAATGCATATCGTACACAGGGGAGGTAAAAATGTTCTGTAAAACTTTTTCTGTTTTTTTTTTTTGTTTTGTTTCAAATGATGCACATGAGGTTGCTGAGGGGTTTCATGGTAGGGACAATGCACAGTGGCAACCACACCTGCCTAGCAAGTGCCTACGGGCAGTGGATAATAAGCAGCTATGAGCGGCCAGCTGAAAAGGCTGAGGGGAGCCCCAGCCCCACTGCCCACTCCCAAGGCCCAGCTGGGGGACCAAGGCTCACGCTGATGATGGCCTGCTGTGCCTCGTTGTTATGGACCAGCTTCGCTCTCTCCAGGGCCTTCTCAAAATTGTTCACAGCCGACTCGAAGTCTCGCAGCTTCACTGGAAAGCAAGGGGGAGGCACAGCACAGGGAGATTGTGATATTTATGTCGCAAGATGGAGGCCCTGACCTGCCAGCCACCCCCAGGGCCTGAGATGCCTGAGGGGCTAGATGGAGTCAGCCCCAGGGCATGGGCAGCACCACTGAGATGCCCAGGCCCATCGCACCCGTGAGGACTGGAACTGACAGGCCTGAGCCTTAGAATCTACCCTTCAGAGGGGTCAGTGAGGGAAGGGGTTTCAGGGCAGGGACAATGCACACATCATGGGTCTCCAGGGTGGTGGACACAACCCCATCCCGTTCCATCTTTAGATTTGTCTAGAAGAGGAAATCCATACTTTTAAAATGGTCAAGTTTTTCACACTCTGCCCAAACCAGTGGGTGCAGTGGCCCATGACTGTATCCCGGCTACCAGGACAGACAAGGCAGGAAGATCACAAGGTCCAGGCCAGCCTCAGCGACTTAGGAGACCTTATCACAAAATTAGAAATGAAAAGGGCTGGGAGCTGGGCGTGATGGCACACACCTGTAGTCCCAGTGGCTCTGGAAGCTGAGGCAGGAGGATCGAAAGTTCAAAGCCAGCCTCAGCAACTTAATGAGGCCCTAAGCAACTCAGTGAGACCCTGTCTCTAAAATACAAAAAAGAGCTGGGGATGTGGCTCAGTGCCCCTGAGTTCAATCCCAGGTATTCCCCACCTCACCCCCCAAGAAAAAGAACTTCAGTTCAGGGAGGAAGGAAAAGCACTAACCAGACAGGGTCCAGTTCTTACACGGATGCTTCCCCTCCCCATTAATGGGAATGGAACACAAGGTCATTTTACTATTGAGTTACATCCCCTGTCCCCAGCCTTTTATTTATTTATTTTTTAAATTTGAAACAAGGTCTCACTAAGTTGCTGAGGCTGGTTTTGAACTTGCAATCCTCCTGCCTCGGCCTCCTGAGTAGTGGGGATTATAGACAAACATCGCTGCTTTCTTTATAACTGTGCACACCCAAGATTCACCCCTTCCCAAGTACTGCTTTGGGATTCAGGGAGGAAGGAGGACCTGTGTCCATAAGTCAAATTTTATTTTATTTTATTTTTTTAAAGAGAGAAGAGACAGAGAGAGAGAGAGAGAGAGAGAGAGAGAGAGAGAGAATTTTTTATTTTTCAGTTCTCGGTGGACACAACATCTTTGTTTGTATGTGGTGCTGAGGATCGAACCCGGGCTGCACACATGCCAGGTGAGCGCACTACCGCTTGAGCCACATCCCCAGCCCCATAAGTCAAATTTTAAAAGGAGATACAAATGTAATTCTGAAAATATGCAGAGTCACAGTAAGTGAGGTCAAATGTCTATTTTTTTCAAATACACATTAGAGATGGAGAATCAGTATTCATTCAGAGACAGTGGTACATTCCTGTAATCCCAGCTACTCCGGAGGCTGAGGTAGGAGGATTGTAAGTGTGAGGCCAGCCTGGGCAACTTAGTGGAACCCTGTCTCAACATAAAAATATAGAAAAGGCCTGGGGATGTTAAGCACCCCTGGGTTCAATCCCTGAAAAAAAACAAGCTTGAGGGGCTGGGGTTGTGGCTCAGTGGTAGAGCGCTCACCTAGCATGTGCGAGGAGCTGGGTTCCATCCTCAGCATCACATAAGAATAAATAAATAAACAAACAAACAAACAAACAAACAAAGAAATGGTATTGTGTCCAACTACAATTAAAAAAAAAAAAAAAGCTTGAGTAAAAGATACCTAGCAAGCAAGAGGCAAGAGTCAGTGGCTTGATACACGGACACTGTTACCATGGTTTGGATATGGTTTAAATGTCCCCCACAAAAAGAAAAAATTAATATGTTAGGAGCCCAGTCCCAGCGTGGTGACGTGGGAGCTTAAAGAGGTGAGGCTTAGGGTAAGGTCACTGGGAACCCTACCCCAGAGGGATTAAGGCAGTTCTCAGGCAACTAACTATTTGGTAGTTTTCTTGAGAAAGTTGTTATAAACCCTTGAGGATGGCGTCCCCCAGTCCTGTGACTTCCTGTTTGGCAACACGATTGCTTGTCCAGTATGTGCTTCTGTCGCTGCAATATGCCATGGCAATCAAGTGAGAAGCCCTCACCAGGGGCTGGGGCTGTAGCTCAGTGGAGAGCACTTGCCTAGCATATGTGAGGCACTGGATTCCATCCTCAGCACCACATAAAAATAAATAAATAAAATAAAGGTATTGTGTCTATCTACAACTATAAAAAAAAAAAAAAAGAAGAAGAAGAAGAAGAAGAAGAAGAAGAAGAAGAAGAAGAAACCCTCACCAGAGCCCAGCCAATGCCAGTGTCAGGACCTCAAATCTTCAAAACTCTAAGCTAAAAATACCTCTTTTCTTTATAAAGTAGCCTGTCTTAGGTAATTTGTTGTAGTAATGTAAAACTGACTAATAATTTGAGGATGGCATGATGCTATGTTGGTTTGCAGCTCCTTGCTCTTGAGGTATCCCTAATCAAACTTTGCTTAAACCAAGCCAGCCTGAGGGTGGCAGCTGGGCCTGAAGGCTGTTCATCTCTGAGCCTGTTACCTTGTGCCTGTGCCACCAAAACGCTGGCGTTCAGCTGCCACTCAATGTCCCCTTCTTCCTCGGCACATTGCTGAGACTTCTCACCATAATTCTGAGCCTGCCAGCCCTGGTCCAGCTCCAAGTAACAGCGGCCAATCTCATGGAACAACCAGGTCTTCTCCAGGGTAGTTTTAGCCAGAGGAATCTTCTCTTCCCACCTGGTGACATGGACATGAAAAAACAGGGTCAGCTTCTTTCCTTAAAATTCTGCTATCAGCCACAGGAGACCAAGGCTTCCTGCTAGGTGACAGAATAAGACTCATTCTTAACCTCCAGCCCAGGTGTGCAGTTAATTAGCATTAACGTATTTCAAAACTACTAAACTATTTTGGTAATATCAATGGGATGGGAGGGGCTGGGGTTGTGGCTCAGTGGTAGGGTGCTTGCCTCTCATGTGTGAGGCACTGGGTTCAATTCTCAGCACCACATATAAATAAATTAATAAGATAAAGGTCCATCAACACTAAAAAATATTTTCTTAAAAAAAAAATCAATGGGATCAAATTTGGCACAACCCTGGAAAATAATGTTTAAAAGTAGCATGTGAGCTAGGCCCACACATGTAATCCTAGCAACTCAGGAGGATCACAAATTCAAGTCCAGCCTCAGCAACTTGGCAAGACCATGCTCAAAACAAAAAAAATAAATAAATAAAAATAGCTAGAGATGCAGCTTAGTGGTAAAGCACCCTCGGTTCAAACCCAGTACCAATAAATAAATGAATAAATGAAGATAGCACTTGAAATAACATCAAAATAATGTTTTAGAATTTTAAGTACCTATGAGAGAAAAATCGGCACAGAAAAAAGACCAGCATGAAAAACAAAAATACCAAGGAGTGGTCTTTGGGTGGTGGGTCTAATATTTTGTTCTACTTTTCTCTATTTTTCCAAATTAATATTTAACAATAAGCTCCCTTTATTATAAAACAGTTTATTACAACAAGATACCAATGGGTGGGTAAACACTGATCCTCCTCTTTCAGCCACAGACACCAAAGGCTATCAGGAAACTGAATCATGTGGAAAGAAGGTAACTGGTAAACAAGTCTTTGGATCAGGCAACAGGGGCCTGAAGGCCTATTTCTCTCCAGGAAGGGTGGATGAGCCCAGGAAGCAGGTTCTCCCAGGTCTGGGCCTCCCCCAAGGCTCCCTAGGACTAACTGCTAGCCCCCGCCCCAGAAGCTAACTAGCCCCAGGGCTGGACATCAGAGTATGGCAGTCAGGCCACCTGGGGGAGTTCAGATACTGTCCTCAGGGAGTCCACAGGACCACACAGTCACACAACAGCCTCAGAGGAAGTCTCAAGGGTCGCTTTGTCCATGTTTCTGAACTGCCCAAAGGTAAGAATCACCTGGAGTGTGGTTAAAAAAGAATTTCTGAAGCCATGCCTGGTGCCAGACACCTGTAATACCGTGACTCAGGAGGTTGAGGCAGGAGGATTGCAAGTTCAAGGCCAGACTCAGCAACTTAGGGAGACTCTGTCTCAAAATAAAAAATAAAAAAGGCTGAGGATGTGGCTCAGTGGTAAAGTACTCCTGGGTTCAAGCCCCAGTACAAAAATAAAAATATCTGAGCCTCAATTCTGACTTGTAGAATGAGAATTTTCAGCAAAGAAGCCAAGCCAAGGATGTGGGAATTGAACCCAGGGATGTGTCACTACTGAGCTAAATACTCAGCCCTTTTTAATTTTTTGAGACAGAGTCTCACTAGGTTGCTTAGGGCCTCACTAAATCACTAAGGCTGGAGGCTGGGGATGTGGCTCAATCGGTAGCGCGCTCGCCTGGCATGCGTGCGGTCCGGGTTCGATCCTCAGCACCACATACAAACAAAGATGTTGTGTCCGCCCATAACTAAAATAAATAAATATTAAAAAAAAAAATCACTAAGGCTGGCCTTAAATTTGTGATCCTCCTGCCTCAGCTTCCTGGGCCACTTGAATTATAGGTGTGCACCACTGCACCTGGTGCCCAGTACTCTTAGACCTAACAAGTACTCCAGGTGATTCTGATCACTAGGAAACTCTGAGAAAATGCTGATTCTATTCCATAAATTCTATGAATTTAACTGAGGAGGCTCAGAGCTTTAAATGGTAGAGTACCTGCTTTGCACATGCAAAGCTGTGGCTTTGATCCCCCCTGACAAAAAGATTGGCAGGAGCCAACCCCCATCCCTCTTCTGAAGTCTCCTGGCCTGACATTCTGGCACCAGGCTAGAGTCCCCACGTGAGGGCAGGAAGTCCCAGCCCTGGTGTGGGGACTGATCACTCACGTGTCAATGGCTTGCTGGAATTTCCCAACTCTGGCAAAAACCCTGCCAATGTTGTCAAGGGCTCTTGATTTTGCATCAGGAAGGTCACTGTGGGGAAGAAGCAAAACAAGCTGTAGGCGAGAGATGAGCTGTGACAGGCACCACAAAATAGAAAAAAAAAGGCAAAAGCAGGGCGCCCTGGCCTCGGGGACTCAGGGTTCCAGGTGGAGACTCTGATGGCCTTTATCAGCACCTTCCTGGAGGGTCATCAATCAATAACTTTCAAAGATCCCCTCTGATCCAGCAATTTCCCTTCTAGAAATTTACTTCAAGAAAACAGTGTGACAAGATCATTCATTAAAGTGATGATTATTTTGGAAACAATCTAAATGTCATCCACGCTCTAACAATGGCAATTTTTAGTGATGAAAAAAAGTCCGTGATACACTTAGTCAAAAAGTCAGATTACTGGAGCATAGACTTTGTATGTCGTCCCACTGTGTTAAAAAACAGTGCAGCTCGGGGCTGAGGCTGGGGCTCAGTGGTAGAGAACCCAGTGTGAGGCACTGGGTTCGATTCTCAGCATTGCATAAAAATAAATGAATAAAACAAAGGTCCATTAACATCTAAAGAAATAATAATAATGCAGCTTGAAGCATTTGCTGGGCTCTGAGGGTGCAGCAAGGGAACAGGATGCAAAATGCATCCTCCCCTCCACCTCTGCAGGGAACACAGCACTGGGATTTTTTTTTTTTTTTTTTTTTTTTTAGTGCTGGGGATAAAACCCAAGGCCTTGTGCTTGCAAGGCAAGCACTCTAGCAACTGTGCTATATCCCCAGCCCAGCACTGTGATTTTGACCCCGTGAAATTGATTTAATCCACAGAACTGAAAGAGAATAGATGTGTGCTGTTTTAAGTTATCAGAAAAAAAAAAAAAAGTGGACTCTTTTTTTGGTATTGGGAAATGAACACGGGGACACTTTACCACTGAGTCACATCCCCAGCCCCTTTTTATATTTGAGAGTCAGGGTTTTGCTGAGTTGCTTAAGGCTAAGTTGCTGAGGCTGGCTTTGAACTCACACGATCCTCCTGCCTCAGTCTCTGAGCTGCTGGGATTACAGATGTAAACCACTGTGCCTGGCTCTCATTCTTTTTTTTATTTAATACAGAAATAATTGCTTTTGCTTTGAAAATCCTGTGCATGTGTATATACACATTAGCATGTAGGTAAGCACAAGAAAAGGGACCAGAAGGACACTTTCTAAGGAGAAGTAAGAGAAGTGAGCAGAAGGGTGGGGGGGACTTTCAAGCTTTACCCTCAGTACCACCCAGTTCCCAAACAAGCCAACATGGTAGTGCTTGTGTAAAACCAACTCCCTCCTGGGCCTCAGCAGCTGCAGGCTGGCCGGCTCAGTATGGCATTGGCTCTCCATGAGTCCTGGCTCTCAGCCCAGCCATGCTATCCCCAAACCACCCATTCTCTCTGCCTAGGGCGCCCTTCTCCTTCCCCCAGCCCACCCTGATAACCCACCTGTCTTCTCTGAGGTTCCCCACCCACAGTGCTCCTGCCTGCCCCTCTCCTTGGCCCCTCAGCATCTCTGCTTGGTCTCCCCTCCCCGAGCAAGCACTGTGTCATGGGATGATGCACAAACACCCTGTCATAGACGAATTCATCCCTGATATTAATATGTAATGAGAACTCACAGCTATGAGGAGGCCAGCAACCAAACCTACAAGCTTCAGGGAACCAAATGAGAGCTGGGCTGGACAATAAGGGACTCATCAGGAAGGGGCCGATTAGAATGGGGGACAGAGAACGCACTTATAAGATCAGTGCTTCCGGGTGAGGCCGGTTCCTGGGTGTTAGAAGAAAGAGCATTGTTAAGGAACACCTCTGTTTACTTCCTCACTTCCACACACTTGCTAGGTGCCTGTTATGTAGCCCCTTCCAAGGTCCAAAGTCTAAGAGGGCCAGGTGTGAACAGGGAGGGAAGGAGGAACCAGGAAGCCTCCTGGGCTTCTTCCCTGGGGGAGTGAGAGGCTCTTGGGTTAGGGAACCTCAGAACAAGAAGTTTGGGAAAAAGAAAACAGGCTCTTATTCGGCCATATTCATCTGGGACACCCAAAGGGAAATGCCTTGGAGTCAGTGGACAGGCAGGTCTTGGCTTGGCCAAGTGTGGCAAGAAGTAAAGGTCTGAGTCACTAGTGAATGGTAGGTAGCTGGTTGGATCCAAGGAACCATCTACACACATCTTATTTAATCCTCACGATCCCTGTCAGTTGGCATCATCATGCCTTCCTGAAGGATGAGGAAAGTGAGGAGATTACTTAAGATCCATACAGCTTTATGTAGCAGAGCCAGGAATCAAAGACACATCTGTCTCCAACCCTGGGGTCCCTTCTTCACACTTCTGGAATGGCCAGTACAGGACATCTCTCAAGGTCCTGGTTCATCTCTAGTACTGCAGGAAAAAGAAAGGAGAGGAGGGAGACATGAGAATGGACCCCATCTGGGGCCAAGGAAAGAGGGGAAGGCTGGAGGCCGAACCTTCAGGGAGACTGGAGCCCCCTGGAGGGCTGTTCTAGGAGGGCCCTGCAGGAGTGCGTTTGGAGAGAGCCTGGGGGCCAACCACGGCAAAGAGAGACCATGAACTTTGGGGATTCTTTCTTTCTTTCTTTTTGTGGTATGGGATGGAACCTAGGAGCATTCTATCATTGAGTGACATCCCCAGACCTATTTATTCTTTATTCTGCGACAGGGCTTCGCTGAGTCGCCCACACTGGCCTCAGACTTGTACTTTTCCTGCCTTGGCCTCTTGCCACTGAGAATATAGGCTGGAGCCACCAAGCCTGGCCCTGGCTTTTTGGAATTTTGAACCATCATACTCCTCTTGATGAGCAAAGGCAAACAGTCTAGGTTTGTCCCCTTACCCTTGGTCCTGGGCAGGTGGCACCTACCTCTGTGGGAATCCACCTTAGGCATGGAGGGCAGAAAACGGAAGCAGAGCCACCAGCAACCCTGGCAAAGGCTGGAACAGTGTCCCAGACCCCACTCCTCGGTAGGCCCATGGCGCTTGGCCACCTGGAAGGCACTCACTACTCCTTAGCGATCTCCAGGTCCTTTCTGTGGCTCTGCAGGGCTGCTCCCATCTGCCCCAGCTCGATCTGGGCGTTCCCGATGCAGCTGTACAAGTTCCCCAGCAGTTCGTCCTTGTTGGGCACCTCTTCTTTGTTCCACTCCAGCACCTTCTTCAGCACTTTCTCAGCTTTTTGGAGACTCCCTTCGGCACTGCCACTGGTCAGCACTGGGAAGAGAAGCAGGTGACATGGAGGCAAGGGCGGTCTCCTCAAGGCTCATGGGGTGACTCCTCTGTGTCCACTCCCCCCAGTGTCCATCCACAGCTCAGCGGAGTCGGGGGGCTCAGGCTATTAAGCTGTTCCCGCCTCACTTGGCAAGAGAGCAGGGGTGCCTGCCCCGCCCCTCTGAGAATACTACCCACACAGGTCGATGTCCTCCAGGCTCTTGAGGATGTAACGGGCCGTCTGTGACGGGTGACGTTTGCGGTCACGCAGCCACTTCTCTTGCATTAGCTTGCGGTCCCGCTCCCTGGCATAGATTGGCTTCTGCTGCCTCCAGAAGTTGCTGCGGGTGTCCAGGTAGTTGATGCCCGTCATGATGAGGTCTTCCACAGTCAAGCCGCCCTTGATGGTGCCTTTGATGAGGTCTGTGGGGAAGGGGTGCAAGGCAACACCAGAGAGGACAAGTGTTCAAGGGGATGACCTCATCGAGGCTTGCGGCCCTGCTGAGGGGCCCTCCGTGAGGAGCTCTGCCTGCAGCTGCAGGAACAGTGAGCAAAGGGAGAGCACACGGTGACAGAGTGGATCTAGCCAGGCCAGGATGAGGCCAGGGTCCCCCCTTTCGGGCATTCCCTTGGCATAGACCTTCGTGGCAATATGCAAGGAGATAGTAGAAGGGGCAGGTGGGAAACACTCTAAGAAGCCCCGATTTTCAGGGATCCCCACTTTCAAGATGTATCCTCAGAGAAGAAAGTGTCTAGGATTCCTGAAGTTCAGGAAATAATGCCTAGAGTTAATAAATGGGATCTCTGCACAGCAAAGGAAACTATTAGGTATATAGAATGGTAGCTTAGGGGCTCCTTAAGTTGCTGAGGCTGGCTTTGAACTCAAAATCCTCTCTGCCTCAGCCTCCTGAGCCGCTCGCTGGAATTACAGACGTGTGCCACTGTGCCTGACTCGTAAGCGATTTTTCTGACAGAGGCTTAATATCTAGAATACAGAAAGAACTCAAAAAACTTAACAGCAAAACCCCCAAATAACCCAATTAATAAATGGGCAAATGAATTAAACAGACGCTTCTCAAAAGAAGAAATACGAATGGCCAACAAAAATATGAAAAGAAGATTTTCATACGTATTATATATTAGGGAACGTATTAGCTATTAGGGAAATGCAAATCACAAAGACATTGAGATGTCATCTCACCCCCGTTAGAATGGCAGCCATCAAGAACACCAACAAAAAAGCCTGGCACTTGGGCACAGGCCTGTACTCCCAGGGGCTCAGGAGGCTGAGGCAAGACGATTGCAAATTCAAAGTCACTTAGCAAGGTCCTCAGCAATTTATCGAAGCCCTAAACAACTTATCAAGACCCTATCTCAAAATATAACCAATGCAACTGATACTGCAGAATGTGGTCAAGGTAAAAAGAAAAAAAAAAAAGACCCTATCTCAAAATAAAAAATAATAAGGGCTGGGGATGTGGCTCAGTGATTAAGCCACACTTGGGTTTAATTCCTGGTTAATAATAATAATAATAATAATAATAGGGGCTGGGGTTGTGGCTCAGCAGTAGAGCGCTCGCCTAGCATGTACGAGGCCCTGGGTTAGATCCTCAGCACCACATAAAAATAAATAAACAAAATAAAGGTATTGTGTACAACTAAAAAATAAATATTTAAAAGTAATAATAATAATAATAAGTCCCGGAGAGAATGTAAAGAAAAAGGAACTCTTTTACAGTGTCGATGGGACTGTGAATTAGTACAACCACTATGGAAATTAGTTCCTCAAAAGATAGGGTATGGAACCACCAGATAACCTGCTATACCACTCCTTGGTATTTATCCTAATAATTTAAAGTCCTCATGCTGTAGTGACACATACAAGCCCATGGATATAGAAACACAACCCACAATAGCCAAATTATGGAACCAGCCTGCATCAACAGGTAAATGGATAAAGAAAATGTGGTATATAAACACAATGGAGTTTTATTCACCCATAAAGAAAATAAAACTATGTCATTTGCAGGAAAATGGATGAAACTTGAGACCATCCATTTACTATGGATGCTCCCCCTCCTCAGAGTTTGGCAAAACAATCCAAACACACAAGGTCAAAGGTCATAAGAAAGGTGTGTGGGGGCGGATCTCATGAAAATCAAAGGGAGATCAATATAGGAAAGGGACAAGGGGGTGGGAAGTGTGGAGAGAGGGGGCAAGTGCTGGGGAGTGATATTGGCCAAGTTCTATTGTTACACTGTGTGCATATATGAATATGTAACAAAAGTCCCATCATCATGTATAGCTCTAATGTGCCAATAAAAAAAAATGTGGAGGGATGGGGTTGTGGCTCAGTAGTAGGGCACCTGCCTCGAACATGTGAGGCACTGAGTTCGATCCTCAGTACCACATAAAAATAAATAAAGATATTGTGTCCATCTACCACTAAAAAAAAAATATTTAAAAAAATGTGGAAGGGGCTGGGGATGTGGCTCGCGGTAGCGCGCTCGCCTGGCATGCGTGCGGCCCGGGTTCGATCCTCAGAACCACATACAAACAAAGATGTTGTGTCCGCCAAAAACTAAAAAAAAAAATTACTAAATAAATAAATAAATAAATGTGGAAAAAGGGGGAGGGGAGTGTCTAAATGCACAACCTGGCCCAGGTTGCCGGTGCCAAGTGATTCCCCAGGTGCCATGCGTGGAGGTGGAGGGGTTTGCCTAAGTCACGCCCACTGTTTGGACAGAGGTTACAGCTGGTTGCAAAGATGCAAGGCCACTTGGGGTAGTGCTCAGGCCACCTCTTTCCTCCACAGCAGGTCCTCTGAAGCACAGGAGGCCTTCAGGTCCATTACCTAGGAGATGCGCCAGCAGCGAGGCCATCTGTGCAGCCAAGCTCTACAGGGAACCCTGCAGGGAATCCCTGCAGATGACCTTGGGAAGCCAGCTCCAGAGAAAAGGCATTTGCTTCAAGGGTGACCCTGCTCAGGCTTATCAGCTAATGCCGACACTCCCACCCCCAAGTTTCTGTGCACATGCATCTCAAGGCTCTGTCCTGTGTCCTGTGTCCTGGCAGCACAGTGTGGGAGAGAGAGCATTGAGTGGGTTCTGGTGTTGATTCTACCAGTAATGTGCTCGTCACCTTAGACAAGTTCCTCCCCATTTGGTAAATTCTATTTCCTCATCTATGAAAGGAGGGATTGGACTAGGTAATGTTTCAGAATACGAGTACTAAGGTGCTTGGATTCGAGTACCTCTCCACCAGAACCCTTTGCCCAGCCCATTGTACAGACTGAAGACTTAGGGGATGGCCCTTCAGGGACTATGGTGGTTGTTATGAGCTAGATCTGGAGAGTCTCTCAAAGGCTTATGTGTTGAAGGCTTCGTCCTCGGCTGAGGGTGCTACTGGGAGTTGGTGGAAGCTTTAAGAGGTAGGGCCTAATGAAAGGAAGTTAGAACACTGGGGCTGTGTCCCTTTCCTCTCTGTTAGCTTCTTAGCTGCCATCAGGGGTACAGCTTTATACCACCATGCATTCCTTACCACGATGTTCTGCTTTACCACAGGCCCCCAAATAATGGACCCAACCATGAACTTAACTTTCTGAAACCATGAGCCAGAATAAACCTTTTCTCCTTATAAAATGATTATCTCAGGTATTTTGTCACAGCAACAGAAAGCTAATACAATAGTAAAGGATTCCAAATCTCCATTGTTACTTTCCAGGGTACCACTGTGCTTACGAACACTGTTTCTGAAATTGGATCTCCTGAATCCAAACATGAGTCATTGCCCATCCATGTGTGACCTCAGTTTCCTTATCTGTAAAATGAGAATACTACTAAAACCCATCTACGAGTACATGTCAGTTAATATTTATGATAGTCTCTGCTTCTGGTTCAAACATTAAGTATCCACCCCAGATTTCCTTTGCCTCAAGTCCCCATTGCCAAGAAAGGGTCTGAAACCTTCATCCAGTAGGAGCTTCTCCAGATACTCCTTGTCCACGTAGAGCTCCCCCAGCAGTTGGCGGATAGTCTTCTCACTCTTGAATGAGCCCTTCCGCTTGGATTCTCTCTGGGTGTGGTGTGGGAGTTGCTTAATGGGATGAGGCTTCTGCTGGGCTTTCATACTCTGGAAAAATGGAGCGATACCCAACAGAGCCTCAGCAAGGAGCACAGAGTCCCAGCCATGGCCCAGAGCCTATGATTCCATATTCCTCTGCCGCAATCTGGCTGGGCACAAATCACGAGCCACTGAAGCAGGAACAAACTTTATTTCTGAACTCCACCAGCACGCTCCACACACGCTCCTGGGAACTCTCCTGAACGCCACCCACGCGGCTCCTCCAGGAACACACCACACACCAACCGGAACTCCCACCACTGGCACTTCCCCAACCAATGTGAACTCTCCAGGAATCCCCCCCCCCCAGAACTCCAAAGGGTGGAGGCGGACAGTAAAGGTATAATATATAATTGAATCAATCCAGCATCATCTTAATGGCTCGCCTCTCAACCAACACTATTGGCAAAATGCCAGGGGCCATTCCGACTCGGCTGTGGCTCTCAGCATTCCTCCTCTAGGACCTCTCTGTGGGCTGAGAACCATGGGACGTGCCTGGTCAGGCAACAGCTAGACACACAGGACCCCTCTAGAGTTGGGGCAGAATCTCATGACTGCCCATGATGGGCAGGAGTTAATCATTCCCAGGCAAGAGGGCCACTAGACACAGGCATACATGACCTCAGAACCAGGAACTTTACCTCGGCCTGCTTGCTTAAGAAGAATACGTCCCCTTTGTTCTCCAGCTTAATGGAAGAAGGACCTGCAAGGACAGAAGCCGGAGCTCAGGTTGGCCAAGTCTGTCAGGCGTGACCTATCACACATTTCATTTAGAAATGGCTGCATTTGGCAGAAGGATAGTGGAGGCTGTGGCAGAGCAGGCCCTGAGTCAGCCTAGCAGGCGACCGGTGCAGGATGTTTGGTCCAAGAGTTTCCTAGGAGCTAGCCAGCCCTCGCCAGCCCCAGGCCATGGCAATCAGATTTCCAAATAAAGGGAGGCCTGGGCACATGGTAAACTGCCCTGTGCCATTTCCACACTCTGCTGCCCACAGCAGCAAGCTCTCACTCACCTCCATTGTCCTCTTGCTACTGAGCTACTGAGTAAAAACCCATCCTTTGTATATACGTGGTGAGGGAGGAAGCCAGGGCCTAGGGAAGGTTGGACTCAGGACCTCCTTTGACTCTGTGACTCTAGGCTAAAGCCAGGCCTACTTCCAAACAGTCCTTCTAATGTGGCTTTGAAGAAAACAAAGACACTGTAGTACTCCGTACAGAGGATCAGGAGTTGGTTCTCCCAGTAGACAGTTTCTTTTGTTTTCTTTTTTTCGATATGGGATGGAACCTAGGAGTGCTTAACCACTGAGTCACATCCCCAGCTCTTTTTTATTATTGTTTTTAGTTGTAGATGGACACAATATCTTTATTTTATTTATTTACTTACTTTATGTGGTGCTGAGGATCGAACCCAGTTGGGCCTCACACATGCGAGGCAAGCGCTCAACCACTGAGCTACAACCTCAGCCCCTCCCCAGCTCTTTTTAATATTTTATTTAAAGATAGGGACTTGCTAAGTTGCTTAGGGCCTTGCTAAGTTGCTGAGACTGGCTTGGAACTCAGAATCCTCCTGCCTCAGCCTCCTGAGCCACTGAGATTACAGCCCAGGAGACAGTTTACTGTGCCTGGCCCAATCGACAAGTTTCTAATCCCTGACAGCGTGAGCAATAGCTGAATCCAAGTCTGAGACTCCCAGTGAGCCTGCGGCTGATTGTTCATCCACCAAACCTCAGCCCTTCCTCTGAACCTTGGGATTCTGGGATCCTTCTGGTTGCTCATCATCCAAACCTCAGCCCTTCCTCTGAACCTTGGGATTCTGGGATCCTTCCTGGATAAGGTCATAGGCCCTGTGCTCACTCACTTCCCACCGAGTTGTTGATGGCTTCCTGGGCTTTCTGAATTCCAACTTTGAATTCCCGATCAGGCCGCAATTTGTAACCTCGATGATAGAACACCAAGGCAAACTCAAAGTCTCCCATGATGTACAGGGTCTCCGCCTTTTGTAAAATTCCCTGGAAGGAGAGAGACTCGAATCAAGGTGGACAGACAAGGCCTTACAGGACTCAGATATGGCAGAACAGAAGTGTCCTGGGTTGAGGGTCAAGGTTGGAATAGAGAGGGCGAGCAGGTGACCTGTGAAGAGAAACACGGCATCAGACACCAAGCAGTCTGGCGGATTCCTCCACTACCGGTAACCAGAGGCTGTGGCGGGCAATGGCAGTGAGTGGTGAAAGCAAGACAGAGTTGTCCCACCTAGCTGGTCACCTTGCAGAAAGTTGGGTCGCTTTGGAGTGAAGCCTCAGCATCCTTCAGGGATTTCTCCAAGTCCCCCATCTTCAGGTAGCACTTTGAGCGGGCAACCAGGCAGTTCTTGTCTCCATTCTGAAGGTGAAGAGCCTGAGAAGGGAATCAGTCAGGCTGGCAGGCACCAGGAAGAGCAAGGTAGCAACTTGACCTAGAAAGTGCAGCCCTGACCTCCTGCAGAGTTTCAAGGGGACTCTTCAGGTCAGCAAGCAGGCCTCTTGCCTTAGCAGACCAAAAGCACTGATCTCTGCTCAGTCACCTTGAACCCACTGACCTGCATGTGGCTTATCTTGAGCAAAGCTGAATCACAGCTATTCTGGATTAGTTGAGATATGGGAAGTACCTGTGGAGGTACTTTCTGCCAATGCTTATGCTCCCCTTAGTCTACTCAGGCGATAAAGCCACAGGATATTTTGTGCATGCCAAATTCAATCACAAACCTCCACATAAATTTCAAAGACTAAGATAAACAAAATAGATTTTAGGACAATTCACAACTTGGGTTATCCATTCCACTAGACTTATCTTTTCCTTTTTTTTTTTTTTTTTGGTCTCTGGGATTGAATGCAGGGGCACATTGTCACTCAACCACATCCCCAGTTCTATTTTTTTTTTTTTTGAGGGGGCGACCAGGGATTGAACTCAGGGGCACTCAACCACAGAGCCGTATCCCCAGCCCTTTATTTAGTTATTTATTTATTAGCTGCAATTAAACACATTACCTTTATTTTTCTTTTTATCTGGTGCTGAGGATCCAACTTAGTGCCTCGCACTTGTCAGGCGAGCGATCTACCTCTGAGCCACGACCCCAGCCTCCCCAGCACTTTTTTGTATTTTATTAGAGACAGGGTCTCACTGAGTTGCTTAGCACCTTGCCATTGCTGAGGCTGGCTTTGAACTCGGATCCTCCTGCCTCAGCCTCCCGAGCTGCTGGGATTACAGGAGTGTGCCACCATGCCCGGCCCCAGTTCTTTTTATTTTTTAATTTTTAAGACAGGGTCTCACTATGTTGCTTAGGGCCTCAATAAATTGCTGAGGCTGGCCTCAAACTTGTGATCCTCCTGTCTCAGCCTCCTGAATCGCTGGGATTTCAGGCATGTATCACCATCATCCTGGAATACAAGCTTTTTCTTCTTTCTTTTTTTCTCCCTAGTGGTACTGGGGATGGAATCTAGGGATTTGTACATGCTAGTAAGTGCTCTACCATTGAGCTACACACCCAACCTTTTTAAAACTTAATTTAATTTTAGGTACTAGGGATTGAATCCAGTCATGCTTGCCTAGCATGCTTGAGGCCATGGATTCAATGCCTAACACTGAGGGGTGGGGGTGGGGGGCTAACAGTTTTAAAACATCTCCAGATCTTTTATTTTTTATTTATTTATTTTTTGAGACAGGGTCTCACTGAATTGCTTTGAGCATCCTTAAATTGCTGAGGTTGGCCTTGAATAATCCACCTCAGTCTTCTGAGTCTCTGGGCTAAGGGCTAACAGGCATCTACTACCATACCTAGCTTTATTTCTTTATTTTGAGACAGGATCTCCCTAAGTTGCCCAGGCTGGCCTCAAACCCATGATCCTCATGCCTCAGACTCCTGAGTTAGCTGAGATTATACGTACATACCACCACACCTCGCTCGAGCCTTTTCTTTCAATGTAACTAATTGAGAATCATCACTGTTTCAGGGGATTAATGTCAGGAAAACTGAAATTGTGATTGGAGTCTCCTAAATTAAGGGTGGGCACTTACACTACTTCTTAGGTCCTGTCTTCCGTTTGAGATCATTTCTATAGTCGGTTCTATACTGTCCTTCTTGGGACTTCAGATTGTATCCACCCCTTTCTAAGACCTTTCGACTTTTCTAAGAAGAGGAAGTAAATACTGTCTTTCCTGGAATGAAACCTCTTCTCGTGCAAGGCTACCATCCCTTGGGGCAATCTTTTCTTTCTGCCTAGGCTGCTCCAGGATGGGACATGGTCCAGCAAGAGGAAAATGGGTGGGGGTAGGGTTCCCAAACTCAATTGTTCACCCATCATTTCTGGTTTTAGGGTGTGGTTGGTGGTTAAAAGGGACAAAAGACTTTAGATAGCAATTGAGAAGCTTGACTTTAGCAGAAGTCTTAGAATGGGTTAATGGACTATCCTACCACATCATTTGGAATAAGAGGCAGGCCGTGGGCTGAAGGTGTAGTTCAGTGGTAGAGTGCTTGCCTAGCATGCTTGAGGCCATGGATTCCATGCCCAACACTGAGGGGTGGGGTTGGGGGGGGGCTAACAGTTTTAAGACATCTCACAGAGCCAGGGACAGTAGTGCAGGACATAATGGCATTGGAGGTTAAGGCAGGAGGATTGCAAGTTTAAAGCCAGGCTCAGAAGTTTAGCAAGACCCTAGGCAACTTAGTGAGAATCTGCCTCAAAATAAAAAATAAAAAGGGCTGGGGATGTGGCTCAGTGGTTAAGAGCCTCTGGGTGGGAAAAAAACAAAACAAAAACCTGACAGTTGACTTGTGCCAATGCACTGTACCATGGAATAGGGTCTCAGTTTGGAGTCTGAGTGTCTAGATTTGGATGCTTACTCTCTTCCTCTACCGCTTGCTAGTTCAGTAAGCTTAAGCATGTTGCTTAACTTTTGTATCAGTTTTCTCAGGTATAAAATGGAGTAATAATAGCCCCTGCATGCACCTCCTTATTGGCATATGTTATGCTGGGCAGCGAGTCTGGTATTCTGAAACAGCATCCAACCCCCTTAGGATGTGGTGGTGCAATTTAGACCAAGGTTACTATAACAATGCTGATTATTTTACTGACAGCCTCCTTTTTACAAGCAGCCGTGTGCCAGACACTTCGCAATTTCTACATGCCTCTCTCCCAACCCATCTCCGGCCAAGGATGGGAATTCGAGACTGCTCTATGAAAGGTCAGTTAATCGCAAAACATTTAAGTAAAAGTAAAGGGAGAGGTCACTGTTAATGCAGAGAATGAAGAACGCAAATGGAAACTGGTAGAAAATTACCAAGCACCGTGCTTATCTAGGATATTGGTGCATCAATCAGGAGTTAGTATTAGACCCTACAGGGTCCTCCAGGCAATTTGAGGACCTCAGCGCTACTCACGTTGCTAAAGCTCTGGGCGGCTTTAGAGAATTCCCCGCGCAGGTAGAGCCGTTCGCCCTCTGCCATGTAAGAGGGAAAGGTACTTCGCAAAGTCTCAGTTTCAGGTTCCAACATGGTGACAGGCTTTGGGGAAGCTGAAGCGGAGAAAGGGAGGAAAAGAAGCTGCAGAACTTCTGTCTGGCTTGTAGAAGACTCGTCTCCTAGCAACCGAGAGACAGAGACTGACTTCCGGTCGCGCCCCTGGCTCTGGCGGAGTCTTGGTCCCCGGCACCCACCCCCAACACACACACAGCGTGCGCATGCGCATGCGCCTGGGTGGTGCACAGGGTCTGCAGCTGCTGAGCGCGTGGACAGCGGCTGGAGCCTGGCGGGGCTCTAGGGTGATCGTTGTCGCGCGGTGAGTTGGTCCTCTCCCGACTTACCACGTGGAAAGCCTCCTGTGCAAGGCAGTCAGGAGAAAAATAGAGTTGGAGGCACAGTTCCAAGTAAGGGTAAGGCATATCTGCCCCCGTACCGTCGTCAGGGAGCGTTTTGGACTTGGAGGCCCAGTGCTTGGGCAGCCTCCCGTGACCCTGAGCGAGGTACTTGAACGCCTTGCGTGTTCTACCTGCGAAAAGAACATGAAAATAGTAGAACCCTCGGTGATGTGAGGATTTGCATGAGACTAGGATGGAAAATAACCTTGGGTTCAACATTCAGTTTAACCTATTTATTAAGCACCTGTTTGTAGTGGACCTTGACTCAGGTCTACCCTGAGTTCCCTACCCATCCCTCACCACCACCCAAAAAAGTGGACTCAGAATTGGGCCCGGTGGTTTACACCTGTAATCCCAGCTACTCAGGAGGCTGAGGCAGAAGGATCCTAAATTCAAGGCCAGCTTCAGCAACCTAATAAAACCCTGTCTCAAAAAAAAAAAAAAAGGCACGGTAAGAAAAAAATGCCAGAAAAAAGAAAAATAATTTTGACTTCAAGTTAAAATCCTCTGCTCTTCACAAGACATTATTAAGTGTAAAATCGAAAGCTGTCACACAAGGGCTAGGGATTTAGCTCAGTAGTAGAACTCTTGCCTAGCTTGAAGGAGGCCCAGGGTTCAATTCTTAGCACTGAAAAAACAAACAGGGGCTGGGACTGTGTTGACCGGTGACGAGTTCTTGCTCCCCGATGTTGAAGAATAACACCAAAGAAGCTCGCCGAGGCAAGGCCAGAGTAGAGATTAGAAATTTATTAAAGGACAGAAGAAAAGACTTCTCCCGGAGGAAGAAGGGGACCCAAAAGGTGGAATCCGTGGAAGTGTGGTTGTTTCCCCTTTTTATAGTTCTTTCGGTCATGCAATGTAGGTTGGAAGGCCCGAGGGGTGGGACACAGGTGGGCCAAAGAAGTAGCCTGAGCAGGAAGGACTTCATTATCACTTCTTTGTGATGGGCTCATTAACATTTCTTTGGGATGGGCTGTCTTCAAATCTGTTGGGGGCTGTTCATTAATACTTCCAGGTGGACTTTGGCCTAGGGCCTTTTCGGAACTTCATTAGCATTCCATGAGTTGTCCTGTGTTTTCCCTGAGTCATTCCCAGCATGGCCTCCATTTTAGATTTCACTCGGTATTAGACCCGGTTTACCTAACTACACTAACTACCTAACTTTAAATCTGGCTTCAAAATGACCCAGGGTTTAGAACAGTTACTTGACTTAAGAAGATATGGAGAATGCCCACTAGAATGATTAAAATATAAAAGATTAGATTTGCCCAAAGTTGTGGACAATATAGGAATTGTGACCTACCATGGTGTGTGGATTAGAAGGCCAGAAGGAGATCCTCACCACCATACTGGGATGAGATGGATCCCCTCAGGGTCCAAGAGCTGGTGGCATAGCTGGAGGTGGAGAAGATGTCCAAGAAGTACAACAGAATGACCAGTGTCTGCCACCAGGAGTGTATGCCTCCCCACTATAAGGAAATAGATCCATCTACGATCAAGTTCATGTGTCTAGACTTTGAAGACTAGATGTCTCCAAATACCTGGACATCCATGAGTAGACTGGCAAAAAAAGTTGACAAGAGTTTTCTATATGGGATGAAGGGCTAATGAAGAGGGGGCAGCAGAGCTCTGGGCCCACCCCAAGTCCCAATCTAGAACCAGGGTACAACTGGCCCCTTCTCATTTATCTAATAAAAATGTCATTTGTGAAGTCACCCAGAGTAGGATCTCTGAAGACTCTCCTGGAGCCCAGATATGGTACAACTCTCTCCTGGTTGAAGAGGGGATATTTGTCACACTGGAATGTGACTCTGTGTGTTTATTGATCTCTAAAAAATTAAAAAGATGGACCTCAGGAGGTGTTGGCAAAGCTGTGAAGTAACTGGAACTCTCACGTAATGCGGTGGAAATGTAAAATGGTATAATCACTTTGGGAAATACTTTGATAGCTCCATAAAAAGTTAAAACGTGTACTTACATATAACCCACGCATTCCACTTCTAGGAAGTTACCTAAAAGAAATTAAAGACTTGAACATTCAATGTAGCTTTATTTGTAATAGCCTCAAACTGGAAACATATCCATCAACAGGTGAATGGGAAAACAAATTATAGTTTATCCATATAATGGAATACTACCCAGCAATAAAAAGGAATGATCTATTGATGCACATGTAATATAGATGAGCCACAAAATAATTATGCTAAGTGAAAGAATCTAGATTAAAAAAAAAGACTGAGCCAGGTGCACCTGTAATCCCAGCAACTGGGGAGGCTGAGGTGGGAACATCACAAGTTCAAGGCCAGCTTCAACAATTTAGTGAGGCTCTGTCTCTGAAAATAAATAAACAAATAAAAAGGGCTGGGGGTGTGGCTCAATCATAAACTGCCCCTGGGTTCAATCCCCAGTAACTAACAAACAAACAAAAGACTGTGTGATTCCAATGATACAAAATTTTACAAAATGCAAATTATATGGCCTGAATGCAATACTGTGGCTTCCTGGGAATATGGCAGTAGGGAAGACAGCAGCAGTAAATCATAAAGGAGTAACAAGGAAACTTTTGAGGGTGAAGGATATGTATCTTGACTGTAGTAATGGTTTAATGGGTATTTACATGTGTTGAAACTCATCAAACAAGACACTTGACATGTGTAACATATAATGTTAATTACACCTCAATGTAGCTATTTAAAAAGAAAGCACAATAAGATAGCAATAATAATGTGTGCTCTTTAGCTGAGTGTGGTGACACTCACCTGTAATCCCAGCTACTCAGGAGGCTGACCTGAGAGGATGGAGAATTTGAGGCCAGCCTCAGTAATTTTGTGAGACCCTGTCTAAAAAGCAAAGCAAAGCAAAGCAAATGAATAATGTGTGCTTTTTGGCACTTTACAAAGCACTTTGTGATCTTCACCATACTCTGGTGAGTGAAGGACTCAGGCGGTATTTTCCTGGTTTCACAGATAAACACTGAGGCTGAGAGGTGATAGGATTTGCCCCAGACACAGCAACCGGATATAAGTAAGCTTGGATTGCTTTGGCAGAAACTGGATTCCAGCCTGTCCAACCCTTTACTATTCAGCTTCTCAAATTACTTCTTTCCTTCTTTTATTGTGAAATAGAACATGGGTACAGAAATACGTGTGAAATATACATGTGCAGTTTAATCGTCATACAATGAACACCCATGTGATCATCAGGCAGGTAATTCAAGAAACAGGAGGCTGTCTGCCCCCTCCCCAGCTCACTGCCACCTTCACACCTTCACAGTCACTCCCAGGATCTGAGCCCCCATTTCCTGTCTCATGGACTACTGGCCCCTTGGTCTGGTCTTGCCTCCCTGACCTTCTCAACAGAAGATTCCTTTTAAAATGCAGGTCAGATGGTGCCTGTCCTCTGTCTGAGGCCCTGCAGTGATTTCCTATTTCACCAGGAATGAAGGTTCTTCTGGCCCTTATCGCTGTGTTCCAGCTACCTGGCCTCATAACTGCTCCCTAAACAGGAAACTGCCACTTCCTTAGGGCCTTTGTTCTAGCAGGTTCTGCCATCTGGAATGCTCCCCACAGCCACTCACCTGCTCTCTCCTCTCCGCCTCCCTCAAGTGTAGACTCAAATCTCTCCTCTGAGGGAATAGGTACTCTGACTGCCCTAATTAATCCTGCAGACTTCTACCCCAACCTCTGATTAGAAAATTCCTGATTTCCTTCTTCTATTCTGTTCTTTCCCTGCCCTCTTTTCATAGTGCCATTTTCTTTTTTTCTTTAAAGAGAGAGGGGGAGGCAGAGAGAGAGAGAGAGAATTTTAACATTTATTTATTTTTTCTTAGTTCTCGGCGGACACAACATCTTTGTTGGTATGTGGTGCTGAGGATCGAACCCGGGCCGCACACATGCTAGGCGAGCGCGCTACCGCTTGAGCCACATCCCCAGCCCCCATAGTGCCATTTTCTGATACACTATATAACTTCTTTATTTGTTTTATGATTTTTTTTTTTTGGCTTGTTTCCCTTGATAAAATATAAGTTGCACAAGGGGGAGCACCTTTGGGTTTTCATTTGTATTTTTCTTTTTTTTTTTTAAATGTATTTTTTTGAGGATATATTTTTTTTTTTAGTTGTAGATGGACACAATACCTTTATTTCATTTATTTTTATGTGGTGCTGAGGATCAAACCCAGGGCCTTGCATGTGTTAGGTGAGTGCTCTACCACTGAGCCACAACCCCAGCCCCTCATTTGTATTTTTCTTTTCTTTTCTTTTCTTTTTTAAGAGAGAGTAAGAGAGAGAGAGAGAGAGAGAGAGAATTTTAATATTTTATTTTTTAGTTATTGGCGGACACAACATCTTTGTTGGTATGTGGTGCTGAGGATCGAACCCGGGCTGCACGCATGCCAGGCGAGCGCGCTACTGCTTGAGCCACATCCCCAGCCCTCATTTGTATTTTTCTAATGGGTGATTATGTTGAATATCTTTTCATGTGCAGATAGGCATCCTCCATATATCTTCTTTGGTCAAGTAACTGTTCAAATCTTTTGGTTAATTTTTTTTTTTTTTTTTTTTTTGTACAGAGGATTGAGCCCATGGCTTTTAACCACTGAACCACATCCCCAGCACTTTTTAAAATATTTTATTTAAGAGATACAATCTCGCTGAGTTGATTAGGGCCTCTAAGTTGCTGAGGCTGGCCTCAAACTCATGATCCTCCTGCCTCAGCCTCCCAAGCTGCTGGGATTATAGATATGCCAGGCTTCTTAGTCATCCTTTTTTTTTTTTTTTTTTTTTAGG